CCAAGCAAAGCTCTCCACCAGAAGTTAAGGTATACCCTGACCACCCCCTGAAGGACCAAGCAAAGCTCTCCACCAGAAGTTAAGGTATACCCTGAGCACCCCCTGAAGGACCAAGCAAAGCTCTCAACCACAAGTTAAGGTATACCCTGTACGTTGTCTGGGTCTTCCGTTTGAGTTGCTGAGTCTTGAATTATTTCGCCCTTTTCCTCAAGGTGTAGTACTGGTATCTTTTCATTGGAAATGTCTTTGTTCTGAGCAGGAACCGCCTTCAAACTTCCTACTGGTACTCCATCTTCCACAACTATTTCTTTAGTCAGACGAGCTGCCTTCGCGTTCCCCACAACTACCTGCTCCCCCAAATTCTCTTCTCTGAACTGGGGAGAAGCCACCTTCCATTTCGGTTCTGGCACTTGCTCTTCCACGTTTTTTTCCCTGGTCTCAGAAGGTGCCGCTTGCAGCTGTTTTTCTGCCTCAGTTTCTTCTGCCAGTAGTGTTGGCACTGGGCTCGGCTGCGAAGATAATCCTGAATCTGTGTGGTCAGGTAAGTTTTGCTTCCGTTCGACTGGTTTTTGGCTTTCTTTATCTATTTCATTCAGTCTAAATATTTTCTGCGATTGTTTTTCTTTTACATATTGCTTCATAACCCCTTCATCGACTTCTGACTGGGACACTGTTTTCTTCTCTGGCTGATAGGGTTTCTCTGGATATGTGCTGTCCGTATGTGGCTTCTGGGGCCAGGTCTTCTCTTTAGCTGCTATCACAATTTTGGGGGTCCTGTCTTCAAAGGAAGCCTGTGATTTTTGAAACCTTCCTTGGGCTTTGCTCGCCACTCGTGGACCAACCTCTGAGACACCCTCCTCCTCATCAGACTCTGAATCAGAGGAGCTGGACGAAGAAGAGGCTGAATCCTTCGCCGCTTTCCTCCTCCTCTGGTGAGTTTCTAATTCGGGACCCTGCTTTCTGAACGGAGATGCAACCTTCTGAGGGAACGCCACCAAAGTCTTTCTTGCCAGAAATCTCGGACCCCCTTCATCTGTGAGTAGCATGACGTCATCGGGGTCAGGACTAGCTACCATCCCGCCTTCATTCGTAACTGACGGGTAAGCACTGGGTGGAGAGAACTTTTTAGACAGTCCAGCTGCCGGGTGGGGGGCTAGGAGCTTGCCCTTCGCCTTTGCTTCCACTACATCTAGGAAATGGCACAAACAGGAACATTACTTTTAATATTTAATGAAACAACCTAAACGCATCAGTCACAGTCACAGACATTTCATTACCCACATCAACTTGTCACTTGTATGCCTTGAGTGAACTCGTCCTAAGAAACCCTCCTCAGAAGTCCACTCTTCAGTGAAGGCCAAACCCCATGAGACAGAACACAGTAAGGAACACAGGTGTTTTTCTTTGTGGCTAAAAATTTAAAAATGGGGCTTTTCACCAACAGGAATATTGGTCTGGTGTTTCCACATTTCACAATGACAGCTTCTTTGATCATTATTTTTAAACTACTATTTCACCCAAATTTAAGACAAATTAAATTATGATAGATAAATTATGATATTATATTTTCAGATGAGTATAACATTTTACTAATATATGGTCCTTTAAATTCCTTAAAAAAAAGAAAAAACAAAACCCTGGTGGATCTCAAATACTAAAAAAATGATCAATATTGGATGAGACCAAGCTTTCTGAACCAAAGAGCCAGGAAAATTGTTCAGTCAAGAGTACAGACAACAACACGGAAGAAAACATTCTTTGATGGTTACGAGGGTGGGGAGGGTGGGAGACAGTTATTTACTAACTAGATAGTAGATAAGAATTATCTTAAGAAAATGTTTTGCATCCTGAGTGGCATCTGGGGTCTTAAAGCTTGCAAGCGGCCATCTAAGATGCATCAATTGGTCCCAACCACCTGGAGTAAAGGAGAATGAAGAACACCAAAGACACAAGGAAGTATTAGCCCAAGAGACAGAAAGGGCCACATAAACCACAGACTTCATCAACCTGAGACCAGAAGAACTAGATGGTGCCTGGCTACCACCAATGACCGCCCTGACAGGGAACACAACAGAGAGTCCCTGATGGAGCAGCAGAAAGGTGGGGTGCAGAACTCAAATTCTAGTAAGATGACCAGACTTAATGGTCTGAGACTGGAGGATCCCCAGAAAGCATGGCTCCTGGATTCTCTATCAGCCCAGAACTAAAACAATTTCCGAGGCCAACTCTTCAGACAGTGATTGGACTGGACTGTGGGACATAAAATGATACTCGTGAGGAGTGTGCCTCTTAGCTCAAGTAGATACAAGAGACTAAATGGGCGGCTTCTGTCCGGAGGTGAGATGGGAAGGCAGAGAGGGTTAGGAGCTGGCTGAATGGACATGAGAAATCAGGGGTGGAAAGGAGGAGTGTGCTGTTGCAGTATGGGGTGAGCAATTAGGGTCACATAATAATGTATGTATGAATTTTTGTATGGGAGACTAACTTGAAATGTAAACTTCATTTAAACTACAACAATAAAAAGAAAGTGAGTCTGAGTGAGCGTGGGGCGGGTGCGTACAGTGTGTCAGAGCGAGGGAGGTGGGAGGGTGTAACGTAGTTGATGCAAAGGTGCCCTCGGAAGGAAGAAAAGTCCCTCAAAACCACGCAAGTCATTTGGGGATTTCTTCGGTCAGAAAAACCAAAGTATTACAGTATCAAGAAGTCTACAAGAGGGTGCTGGGCCGGCCCTTGAATCTGCACTGCGACCTCCCCGGAGCAGGCTCTGATGTAGGTGGAACGCAGAGCACACACGGAAACACCTGAGCTCCACATCATGGTAAACATAAGAGCAAGTCCTCGAAGCACCCCTGCCTGGGGCCCAGTCTGATGAAAGAATGACAAATACGGACATTTTAGAGCAATCCCACTGAGTACAGTTATCACTACTGCTTTCTGTTCAAATGACATATTTTTTAATGGTTATCGCAATAGACTTTCTAGAAAATCTGCTGTGGATTTTAAAATTTTAAAGGAATTATTAAAACAAGATTATAGGTTAACCTCCTGTATCATCTACTGAAAAGAAAAATTCGAATGGGATTAAATATTACATAATTTAGAAATTGGTTGGAAAGGGAACCTTTGTCTATTGCACAAAATAAGAACGCGTTACAGTTTCTTTTAGTCATGTTACATTACTGGGAAAATCCAGAAAGGCTAAGAGACTAAACTGTAGTAACGCGCTTTGCTCTCTACCGAGAGGCCAGTTTTGGGGCCCCTGCAGCACAGGCCCAAGTAGGCATAGCTCCCAGCATAAGATGGGGACTTTCAGGGCTGTTCCCACTCTCAGAGACCATACGAGCCTACATAAAATTCTCATCTCCTTGCCGCGGAGTCGATTCCTGACACATAGCCCTTCCGGAGAGAGCAGAACTGCCCCATACGGTTTCCAAGGTTATAATCTTTATGAAGGATGGTGAGACTTTGTCTCACACATTTCGGATGCGTTATCAGGAGGGATCAGTCCCTGGAGAAGGACATCATGCTTGGTAAAGTAGAGGGTCGGCGAAAAAGAAGACTCTCAACGAGATGGATTGACACAGTGGCTGCAACAAAGGGCTTACGCGTAATGATTGTGAGGATGGCGCAGGACCGGGCAGTGTTTCGTTCTGCTGTACACGGTGTCGCCGTGAGTCCGAACTGACTAGACAGCACCTAACAACAACAGTCTTTATGAAAGCAGACTGCCACGTATTCCTCCCACTGAGCAGGAGGCGGATTCAAACCCGGGCTTCCAACAAGCTCATTCCGGTTCGACCCCTGCTGGGAACCTGCACTTCCACCCAGAGGTACTGAACCAGAACGTGCATTTTTACAGATCTCCAGGCGATTTTTATGTACACTGCAAATTCTCAGCAGGGCGTCTAACCGGAATGACGGCGTCGGAAGCACTGGTTCAAACTGCTGACCTTTCAGTTAGCAGCTGAGCACTTAGCCACTGCGCCACCAGAGGTCTACAAATACTAGGAAACAGCACAGAGAGAGGAGCTTCTTAGCGCTTGTTTAGCTCCTCTCAAAATAGAACTTAAATTTCCCAAATCTCTTTTCTGCTCAGTTGAAAAGCGAGGGCATGACCAACTTTTTAGTGGTCCCCATAGGAAAAGCAAACATGACTGGTGTCTGAAATGGATTAGCAACCTTAAAATACTTTCATATCTTGTCAGCAGGTCATGAAACCTATATTTCAGAAACAAAGGTACATTTAAAAATAACATGAAAGAATAAAGCTATTAAAATTTTAAATGGTAATTTAAAACTTCTTTTACAAGTGTGTGACTATAAGTTTTTTTTCCTAATGAATGCTTAAGAATCAAGATTTTCCAGAGGCAAGACAGCATAGGGGTTAAAAACACGGGCTCTGGAGACTGCCGGCCTGGTTCCAATCCAGGCCCACCACCTACAACCTGTGACCATGGGCAGCTCACTGTCTCTGCAGCGCCACTGCCTCATCTATGAAATGGGCACAGTAACGTATCTGCTCGGTGCTGTGTGTGGGCGGCCACATTAATACATGGAAAGTGCTTACAGCAATGCCCGCAACGTTTCCTGTAATTAAATACATCAAATCCCTATTTCTGGAGACTCCTCACTTTTAAAACTGAAATACAGACTTGAAATAGATAATTAACTTTGGCTTCTAACATAATCTTTAAATAGCTACACAAGAATTATTTAGTCAATGAAGTCTTACTGACGGCTGCAGAACTGAGCCCAGAGACTGGACTGAACAGACTACCAAGTGCTGGAAAGCCAGATGGTTCTCACAGACGGCGCACCTGTGAGAACACCTGGCTTCTGAGATCAAGTGGCCTCTTTCTCCCACAAAGAAGCGTGTGCTTCCAAAAGCTGGAATCCCAAACTGAGTGAGGCATTCTAGAACCCTGGGGTCCTGCCCTGATGGCAGGCCCTTGGACCAGAGATGTGTCCCCAAGGTGAGCATGTAGGGACCCCCCATTTACAGACAGGAGGCTTCCATTAGAGCTCCCCAGGCCGCCCAGAGTTGAGAGGGGTTCACCTGGCAGTTTCCCATCAGGAGGTGAAAGCCCCTTCCGGTCACTGACACTCAGGGGAAGCACAAAGACCTGCACGTCACGTGTCCACTGGAGAAGCATTATCGCCCTTTTTTTGCACAGAGATAGTTTTTTTGAATTATGACAGAAATGTAGACTAGCGACAACCGCAGCACTGCCCAATGCACACAGTGTATACACTGGTCTTCTCCCGTCTCCAAAGCGCCCAGCCGAGCTGCACTGTCCCCACGCGAGCACGAAGGAACCATGGCTCAGAGGCCTGAAGGGCCGGCCGTGCTCAGGGGCAGAAGCTAGCCGAGAGCCCAGGCCAACTTCCAGCTCAGCCCTGTCCTCCCTCAACTGCACACAAAACTGCCGCGGGATGAAGCACGCCGCTGCCACTCAAGTACGTTTCCAAAGGATGACGGGGAACCTGTGGCTCTGCTGTGATATTTTAAAACCCAGTTAATCCAAATTCATAAACCTGCAGTATCAAATCATCACGTAATCAAAGAGATCTACAAAGAAGGAGGATTGCAGATGTGATTAAAGGTCATCAAGGGATGGAGTGATACAGCAAAATTCAACAAATCATTCACAAGTAAACATTACGAGAATGCTCACAATGAGCCATGTGTGCTAGAGAATTTAGCTTTTTCATTGTAAACATTAAAAAATTATCAAAAACAGGCCAGGTAATAACTGATAATATTAAGCAATTAATGTTAATTTTTTAGGTGAGGTGATGGTATTTTTTTTTTTTTTTTAAAAAAGGGAGTCCTTATGTTTAAGATACATATTGAAATATTAATGGGCGAATTAAAAAAGCCAGAAGAAAACTGGATGTAAAGATGATCCAGGAGCAGGACAGAATTAAAGCATCTTTCCATCACACTGGAGGCCACCAGGGTGGTGGGTCTGAGAGGGTGTGAAGGGGCCTGGGGGCTGGGACCCTCGACAACCTGCCTACAGATAAGCTAAGGATGTTCCTGTGCGCAGAACAAGGGGCAGAAACCACAGAATTGAAACGCTTTCAAGCATTCAAATGGAGAAAATGGTATTTTGATGAAAGTAAAACCAAATACAAATGATTCTAAAAACCCATATGAAGATTAAGATTTACAAAGACACTGTACGTATTACACTCTTTCAAGAGTTAGCTAAGGTTCCAGTAAGACTAAAGCCACGGACTTGGATCACGATCAACTACAATACATGGTCAATAATAATTAGCAAAAACAACCTAACCCATTGCCGTCAGGTTGATTCCGACTCATAGTGACTCTACAGGACAGAGCAGAACTGCCCCATAGGGTTTCTAAGGAGCAGCTGGTGGATTCAAACTGCCGACCTTTTGGTTAGCAGCCTAACTCTTAACCACTACGCCACCAGGGTTTCCGAATAATCAGCAAGGAGTAGAAAATAAAATAATTCCCAGAAAAGAAGCATTTAAAATACACTGTTACAGTTCCCATTTCCCTTTTATGAGAACATCCTACACTGGAATTCAAAAAAAATAAAAAACCGTGATAAAAGTCAAAATGACTGCGGAAACAGCTCGAAACAGATCAGACATCATGTATCATCAAAGTGAGTCAGAATGGAAAATTGCCTGTGCCTAACTCCCTCTCCAAAAACTCAGAAGAAGATGCCTGTAATCCTGGATTGTGATCGAGCAAAGGCTGGGAAACCAGAGGAATCTCAGAGACACTGAAAAAAGTCAAAATCAGGGGAAGAAAAGTAAGGCGGGATTTGCATCTACCTCTGTTAGCACGGGATCCACATTAAGCCACAGAGTCCCTAGGTTGTGTAACTCAGACTGACAGTGGCCCTATAGGACAGAGTAGAACTGCCCCGTAGGGTTTCCATGGAGCCCCCGGTGGATTCCAGCTGCTGACCTCTTGGTTCGTAGGGTCGCTGAGTCGCAATTGACTCGATGGCGATGCGTTTGGGGTTATTAGGTTGTGTGAACAGTTAACACACTTTACTGCTAACTGGAAGTTTGGCAGTTTGAGTCCACCCAGAGGTGCTCCGGGCCCTGGTGGTGCAGTGGTTAAGCATTCAGCTGCTAACCAAAAAGGTCAGCAGTTCAATTCCACCAGCTGCTCCTTGGAAACCCTATGCGGCAGTTCTATTCTGACCTATAGGGCTGCTATGAGTCAGAATGGACTTGATGGCAATGGATTTGTTTGTTTTTGGTGGGGGGAAGGGAGGGGAGAGGTGTTCTAGAAGGCAGCCTGGTGATCTACTTCCAAAAACTCAACCAATAAAAACCTTATAGAGCTGCTCTACTCTGACACACATGGATGTCACAAGTCGGAGTTGACTTGATGGCAACTGGTTTGATTATGTTTAAATGCTATACAGCCTTTATACTCTGCATCACTTGTTCCATGTTAGAGTTTGGCACTTAGAAAACAGAACCAGTTCAGGCTAAATAATGAGGCAAAGGCTATTTCCAATGTGCTTGGTCTAAAATCTGTTACAGATTTATGTCTGATTATAATCTGAGCACTGTGCCGAAAATAAAGACCCACAAGTCATATAGCTGGTAAAACTCCTTTCCAGATTGGGAGGCTGACTGATTCACTGACTTTGCATCCTCTTTCCCTTATCACTAACATGAAAAGCTTACGTTTTGGTTTACTTTGCTTCTTGGGATTTGGTGGCAGGCCCTTTCCACTCTTTCCTGATTCTGCAGAGAGAGGAACGGTAGAAGCAAGTCCTCGAAGCGCCCCTGCTTGGAGCCCAGTCTGACAAAAGAATGACAAACACAGACATTTTAGAGCAATACCACTGAGAACGGCTATTACTATTGCCTTCTGTTCAAATGACGTATTTTTTAATGGTTATTACAATCTTCATAATACATGTGTATCATGAAAAGCTGAAACAAAACACCGGCATTCAAGACAGTCACTACTAACATCTGGCTAGTTTTACTATGAGATTTTTCCATGCATACTTTTTCATCAGCTCCAACTGTTTATTAACCTACAAAATGCTATATTTTGTTGGTTTGTTTTTTTGTAAAATGTTTTTCTATACTTAGAAAGTAGAAGAAATACTACTCGGCCATTAAAAATCATGTAGATGGAAAATTGCTTCAGAACTGCTTACAACATAAGTGAAAACACATTTTATAAAGTGTTAACACGCTCAGCATGTATTTTCTAAGGCCTACGATGTGCTGAGCACTGTTCTAGACGCTGAACGTATGTAATAGAGAACTATGCATACACGTGTAAATGTAAAAACACGTGTAAATGTAAAAAACTGTAAAAAAAAAAAAAAGCGTGTGTGTGTGTATTTGTACATACAGCAGTGGGAAAAAAATCGTTCGGAATTAAGATACCTCAATGAATAAATGTGGACGCTGGATTTGTTTTTTTTCTCATCTGTGCTTTAAATTATTTTGCAATGAATAGAGATTACTTTTATAATACGAGTCACTTTCAATTATAAAAAGTTAACCGGCCTTGGGGTTTTATATATGGAGAAAACCTCTCTTTTTTTCCGTCCCTTTTCACAGGTGAGGAAGTGTGAGCCGTCTTCCCAAAGGCTGCCAGGTAAGTCACCGGGCCAAACAGGTACCTAAAACTTCCCTCACTCCCACTCTTAAGAAGTGAAGATGCTGTACTGGGAGAAACCCTGCGATACTGGCTGGAGTCACGGCCGCACCGCGCTCGTCCACCCCTGCTGCACCGCAGAGCCACTTGGGGGAACTTGGACCCCGCAAAGGCTCCCCAGGTGAGCCGGGCTCCTGCCGGGGGTGGACGCCACTGCGCAGGGGGCCGGCCCTTCCACGCCGCGTGCGAGGCTTCCGGCCTGGGAGCGGCAGGAGCGCGCGGGCGTCCCCGGGGACGACCCTGCAGGTGACCGGGACTGAGGTCGCCGGGGGTAGCACCCCAAAGGCCGCTGGCCAGCTCCAGTCAGGCCCCAAGGCCGCCTGCACCCGGTCGCCGGTCCAGCTTCCTCCTCCTCGGCCCAGGGGTCAGCGGTCCGCACAGGGCGGTTGGAGGCAGCCAACCCGGGCGCGGCCAGTGCTGCGCACCCCGTCCCGGCCCCTCCGGGGAACCCTGGCCGCCCGGCCCTGCCTGGCTCCTCCTTTACCTTCAGAGCCCCAGCTCGTCCTTGCTGCAGCAAAAGCTGGGCCGCCATGCTGTAACACTAGGGCGTGCCGGGCAGACGGCCGGGCCGGGCCGACGTCGCACCGGGAGAAGGCCAGCTCTGCGCGCGCGCCGCCGCCCCTAGGCCCCGCCCCTTTGCCCTCCGCCGCCAATCACAGGCAAGGACGGCGGCGAAGCCCAGCGAAGGACGCACCGAGCAGCGAAGCGGGCGCCTGCGCGCGCATCCTCAGCCGCCCCAGGGCACCAAGTTCTGCGCTTCGAGGCCCCGCCCCTTGGCCGAGGGCCCCAATCACAGGCAGGGACGAGAAATGGGTCCGCCCCTGAAGGTCCCGACCTTGAGGGGCGCAGGCTACAGGACTTGTCTACCGGTCGAGTGGGCGGTATCTCAGGCTCCGGGCCTTGGAGATCGGAAATAGATACTGAGAGGACTTTACGGTGCTCTCAGTGTCTGCGGAGGGCGGGCCTGAGTGATCCGCATGACTGCTTCTCACCTTTTTGCCCTTGCCCTCTCAGCCTTAAATTTGAAATCGCCGGTGCACAGCCTCACAATCCAAGCATTAGCATTTCTGGTCTTAGCTGATCGTTCTCTATGTTTTGGGGAGTGTTTAAGAGCCTCCTTCCATTACCTTTGGATCCACACCACGCGCCCAGACCCTCTCCTTGGTCACAGCCAGGGCGTCAGATCACTGCCCACGTGCAGCACAGCCTCAGGCAGGCCCTACAACAGTGATACCGGAGTTAGATTAGACGTTGATGCTTTATTTTACCCGAATATTCATGACTTTCAGCCCAAAGATTTTCCCCCAAAGCCTGGCCTTCATTGGAAAAGTTAGGCATAACTGTGGACTGGGTGTGGTTATCAGCTTTCTTCTCCACCCACACAGATGCCTAGGGCCCCGGAAGTATTCAATGAACGATGAACAACTCCGACTTCCATACGGAAAGATAGTCTTCTTCCACCATTAAAATTGATTGAGAAAGGATTTCTGACTGGAACCAAGTGAATCCAGTGGATCTACCATTATCCAACCTGAAAGGCCAAAACAACAACCTCTGGCAGTTAGTTACATGCTTCTTAGAGTAATAGTGGGAAAAGAGAGTCTTTTCTCTCCAAAGGATGAAGAAAAAAAGGATTATCCTTTCCTCAACACCAGATTATCTCTGTTGACTCCAGGGGAAAGTTTACCCTTATCTTTGGGAGATGTTATCGACCGAATTGTGTCCCCGCCAAAATATGTCCTGACCCCTGTACCTGTGGATGTGATTCTGTTTGAAAATACAGGGAGTCCCCAAGTTCCAATGGAGATTCTGTTCTGACAATCTGTCGTAAGTTGGTTCTGATGTAAGTCGAATACCTGATATTTTTGTTTCAATATTATTATCAGTATTTTTATAAATCTGATTTTCATTTGTCTTTGGGGTTTGGCATGAGAATGATAACATCGCAAATTACCCACTGCCACACTGTATGTAGTACTTATTACTAAACAGAAATTTTAATTTTAATAAGTCAGATAGATGAGTGTTTTTCATGGCAGTTTGAACTTTTTGTGTCTTGAGAAATGCTTCCCTACTCTAGGTTCATAATAATTTTTTTTCCTCTTATATGTCTTTAATTTAGCCGAAATTGCTTTTTATGTAAGGTATTAGGGAGGAGTCCAATTTTATTTTTTCCCTATGGATAATCAGCGGTACCAGCACAGTTTATGGAATGGGTCATCCTTTCTTAACTGATGAACAATGAATCCTCTGTGGCATATTAAGTTTCCATATAGGCGTGGTTTCTATCTGGATGTGTTACACTTTATTGTCTATCTTTGAATGAATATCACACTGTACTAATCACTGTGTTATTGCATGTTATCATTATAGACCCATATTAAGTCCATTTACTAGGGCAAGTCTTCACACCTTCTTTTTCTTCCTCCTTCTATTTCTTCTCCTCCTCCACTGCTTTGGTTGTTCATGGCCTTTTCTTTCTCCAATGTTACATTCTCCAATGTTACAAATAGGTTGTTAATTTCCAAAAAAAAAAAAAATCCCTGCTGGGACATTGATTAGAATTCACTTGAATGTATTAGATTATTTTGAAGAAAATTAACATGCTCACAATATTTGTTGTTGTTAGGTGCCATGGGGTCAGTTCCGACTCACAGCAACACTACGTACAAGAGAACAAAACACTGCCCAGTCCTGTGCCATCCTCATGATCGTTGTTATGCTTGAGCCCCTTTTGCAGTCACTGTGTCAATCCATCTCTCTGAGGGTCTTCCTCTCTTTCACTGACCCTCTACTTTACCAAGCATGATATCCTTCTCCAGGGATTGGTCCCTCCTGATAATGAGTCCATAGTATGTGAGACAAAGTCTCGCCATCCTTGCCTCTAAGGAGCATTCTGGCTATACTTCTTCCAGGACAGATCTGTTGGTTCTTCAGAAGTCCACGGTATATTCAATATTCTTCAGCAACACCTAATTCAAAGGCATCAATTCTTCTTCAGTCTTCCTTATTCATTGGCCAGCTTTCACATGCATAGGAGGTGATTGAAAACACCATGGCTTGGGTCAGGTGCACCTTAGTCCTTAAAGTAACATCTTTGCTTTTCAACACTTTAAACAGGTCTTTTGAAGCAGATTTTCCCGATGTAACATATTGTTTAATTTCTTGACTGCTGCTTCCATGGGCATTGATTGTGGATCCAAGTAAAATGAAGTACAATATTTAGGAGTACCTTTTTCTCTTAATTTATTAATGTCTTCCCTTTATTGTCTTACAATAAAATTTTACCATTTACGTTTAGTGAAAATATAGGTGTTTGGGCTAAATTAGATAGTTTTAAAATTGAGATACTTTTTAAATTACATTTTCTACTTCTTGCTGATGTACAGAAATACAATTTATTTTCATAAATTGTTCCCACGTCCAGCATCTCGCTGAATTCTCTAATTCTAATGTTGTTGTTAGCTGCCATCCAGTCATCCCCAAACTCCACACACAACAGGATCAGATCACTGAGCTCCATAGGGTTTTAACAGGTTGACTTTCAGAAGTAGATTTGCCAGGTCTTTCTTCCTAGTCTGTCTCAGTCTGGAAGCTCTGCTGAAACCTGTTCAGCATCATAACAACACAAGCCTCCACTGACAGATGGGTAGTGGCTGCCCATGAGGTGCATCGGCCGGGAACTGAACCTGGGTCTCCTGCATGGAAGGGGACAATTGTACCACTGAACCACCACTGCCCTCTTATTAATTCTGATAGTTTTCCTATATATTCTCTTGGATTTTGCTTGCCGACACTATCAGTTTGCCCCTTGTGCCAGTGCTGGGGCTGTTCTCTCAGATGCTTTCCCAGCCCTTTCCCTGCCCTGGTTTGTGTAGTTCTGGAGGGAGGGATGCTCCCTGTGGGCTGTATTTCCCAGGTTTCCTGGTCAGCCACCGCCCAGGTGGGTGTGGTCCATGGGAGACCCTGGTAGGAGCTTGGCAAGCAGAAAGGAAAGAGTGACAAGGGCATTTCTCCTCTGTCAGCTTGTGTCCCACCATGGCTCCAGCTATTGCTGGACAGACTCACAGGTGCCCCAGCTTCCACAAATGATCTACCCATGGGCTTTGTAACACCTCCTCCTTACTGTGTCTCTCCATCCCAAGGTGGGGTGGTGGCTTCCTGCTGTTGTGAACTTCTGTGTTACCTCCCTGTCTTCTTTTAGTTTCTCAACTCCTCCATCATCTGTGTAACAAATTCCCCGCATTCAGTACCCTCTCCTGTAAATACCTACCATGGCCTTCTATTTGGAGATCTGTCTGGCAGATCTGTCTGGCACATCTGCCCAATCCCCATCCAAACCCTTGTCTCCTTAGCTACCCTCAAGGGATGCAAGGGATGGCCACTGAGCACAATTCTGGCCAATGAGATGACAGCAGGCGTCCTCTGAATGAGGCTTATGGGAAGACTTGTTTTGCTTGAGACAGACTCAGTGGTCACGACCACTTTCCTACTCCTTTTTTGTTCCTGGAACAAAATCTAAGGCTACAGCAACAATACACCCTAAGGTGCCAGGCACAAGGACAATCACCACTGTGGAACAGAAAGATGGGAAGAGTCTTATCAACAGCATCATTGAATCACCACCTTAGTTTGGGACTGGAGTCCCTGGGTGGTGCAAAGGGTTACCACACTCAGCTGTTGACCAAAACACCAAAGGTTCAAGTCCACCCAGAAGCACCTCAGAAGAAAGGCCTGATGATCTACTTTCAAAAAATCAGCCATTGAAAACACTATAGAACGTAGTTCTGCTCTGACACACATGGGGTCACCATGAGTCAAAATCGACTCGACAGCCACTAGTTTAACTTGGTACTGCCAAGTCTTGGAGTTCTCGTTTGTTGTCCTCTTAGTTACCTTTGAGTCAATTCAGGCTCATGGTGACCTATGTATGCAGAGTAGAACTACTCCATAGGGTTTTCAAGGCTGTGACCTTTTGGAAGCAGATCACCAGGCCTGTCTTCTGCGATGGGTGGGTTTGAACTGCCAGCATTTCAGTTAGTAGCCCAGCACTTAACCATAAATGTCCCTCTTATAAGGCACTCAAAGTCACATTCTCTGTTGCCTGAAACCAAACATATTCTCAATGAATACAATTATAATCATATCACTGGTGACTAGTACATTTTCTTACTTCCTTTCTAACCCTTGTCTGTTTGTTTTTTTAGAATTTTTTTCTTGTCTTACTGTGTTAGCTATGACCTCAAATTTGTCTTTCACCAAATTTGGGCGCATTATTTCCTTAAGTATTTGTCTGCCTCATTATCTCACCCCTCAATCCGGGATTCCAGACACATATGTATTAGATCTTTTGACATTGTCTCACACATTGTTTCTTCTTCTTTTCCAATCCTCTTTCTCTCTATTTTCAGACTGGATCATTTCTATTGGTCTCTCTTCAAGTTAACTGACTCTTTCTTCTATTATCTATGATCTTCTGTTAAGCCTATTCAGTGCATTTTTTATTTTAGATTATTTTTCAGTTGTAGAATTTCAACTTGGTGGTTTTTATACTCTCTATTTCTCCACCATGGGAGCATTGCTATTTCAGTGGTAAAAT